TGCTATTTACGCTTCACTTAATTCTTTAAAACAAGACAACAAAAAGGTTAAATGTAGTTAAGCAAAGTGCTACCTCTATTATCACTTGTAGAACAGAAACAAAACCCACAAAAATGAATACTGGGACAATATAGTTTTATCTTGTAGAAACATGCATTTAAAAGAAAAAGAAACAGGAAATGTTAAAAAAAAAAAAAAGAAAGAAAGAAAAAGAAAAAAAAGAAAAAGAAAAAAAGACAACAGGAGTTGCCGCACTTACAGCAGGAAAAAAGCATAAGTATATTGACAGCACTCACCCTACCTAAACATTAAAGCATTACAGAATATATATATATATATATATATTTTTTTTTTTTTTTAACAAACAAGGCAGTAGCCTATACAACCTCCTGACATTGCTTCAACATTTCCTGAAGAATGTTTCTCTTCCCAGGAAAACAGACTAAGACTTATACTTAGTTTATGAATACAGGTCGAAATGGGAAATTAAATACGAAATGAAAACTGAGACATCAAGAAAAGGTTTCAGATAAAGCTTTGGCTGAATTTGGAGCAACTTTGCGAGGAAAAAAAGACTCAACCACCAAGACTAAAATTTCTTAGAATGATTATAACCCTCTACCTAGAATTCTCCAAGAAATTCAGATCATATGGCATGTTTTGAACAACCAAATGTACTTAAATAAGTTCTAGAATGTTTAAAATAATGTCGTAGCAGCAGAAGAAAAAGAGTAGCAATCAAAACATTTGGCAATTAAATTTTAAAACTTTATTATAACTACCATTAATAAGGTAAGACCTAACAAAACTTTCTAATTGAGATACCTAAAATAAGCTATTCAAACAAACAGATGATATTCAACAAACATAAGTATTTCAAAATTAGACTAAGTATTAACATGAGGCTAGCATCTTCAGATTAAGAGCTTCGAATATCAATTCTCCATTAAGGTTGCTTGTGATAAAGAAATGTTGAGTTCACTGTGTTAATGATTTCTATCAAAACCAGAATTCTCCACCGGATCTACCAGTACATGCAAGTTTATTAGCTTAATCATGGCAAGTTCTACGTCAATATAAAATAATCAAGAAACTAAAACTAATTCCAAAATTAAGAGATCAAATACATATCTTTCAGAATTTGAAAGAGTTTGCATTTAGATATAAGTATTATTGGAAATTACAATCACATTTTGGTAGCCCTCCTTTGCCCTTCTGAGCCCTCTTGGAAAAGGTCATTCTTTAAGAGTTCTATAATTTAGCATTAAAAACATAATTGGTATCTGGAAACATAATGGGATATCTAGGTATGCGATGGATGGACCATTCAGATAGGCAAAATACAGTTTTACTTTTCTCCCTAATTACCTAATAAAACATTCTTCAAAGCCAAGACCTTCCATTTAATAGACAGTTGTTTTTCATGGCATACAATTAAGAATTTGCCCTATCTGAAAGTTGTAAAATATCCCATACATCTCATATGTTGCTTTCAACACTAGTTGACAACCACCCCCAGAAAAGATTTATGGTGGTAAGAACTGACAGACAAGAAATGAATTAACAACCTCATGAAATACATCACATTATTTTTAAAAAAGGTAATTTTCAGTCAAGTTAAAGCTTATCTGCTAATTTATCTTGTTAAAAAGGAAAAATTCACCCAAGGTATAATTTTAAATATTGGTCATATTCTAAACGCCAAATCTATAAATAGATTCACTAATAATTTGGTGGCACACTACCTTCATTTTTAAATTTTCCAGTTGCTCTTTTATATTTCAGAGGCTGTTTTCAGACAAAGGAAAAATGTTTTTTGTAATATATTTGCACCACCACGTATTCTGCCTAGTAATATGAAAATGCTAACACCTATCTTTAAGAAGATACAAAAACTCCAAAGACACGCTATATGCAACAAAGTTTTCATAGAGGGAAAACAGGTCAAATAAACTGAAACTAAGTACTTATATGTTTCATATAATAGCTTATTATGTTACACAATTATAATAAAATAGCTTATTATGTTACACAATTTTAAACTCTCTTCCTGTAACAGAATGCAATCATAAAACTGACTATACTGATTTGGATCTACTATAATTCAATCCACATTCCACAAGTCATGCAATAACTACATACATGTAAGTTCTAATAACAGTTTTTTTGTTGTTATTTTTGTTTTGTTTGTTTTTGAGAAACAGTTTCGCTCCCCTTGTTGCCCAGGCTGGAGTGCCACAGCTGCGATCTCAACTCACCGCCACTTCCGCCTCCCGGGTTCAAGCGATTCTCCTGCCTCAGCCTCCCGAGTAGCTGGGATTACAGGCATGTGCCACCACGCCTGGCTAATTTTGTACTTTTAGTTGAGACGGGGTTTCTCCATGTTGGTCAGGCTGGTCTCGAACTCCTGACCTCAGGTGATCCACCCACCTCGGCCTCCCAATGTGCTGGTATTACAGGCGTGAGCCACCTCACCCAGCTTCTAATAACAGTTTTGAAGCAGCTCTTCAAATATAAGAACTATGACAGGTAGCATGTATTATATAAATACACATAATGTGAACCTAAAATTCCATTTTTTCTAGGTATTTCGACCTCCTACATCACTTTTTCTCCAACCATTACCAGTCAGAAGCCAAGCAGAATTTCACCTTGTAGCCCTAATACCACTCATTCTAAGGTTGGAGCAATAACAGTAAAACTTGGGAGGCCGAGGCGAGCGGATCACGAGGTCAGGAGATGGAGACCATCCTGGCTAACATGGTGAAACTCCGTCTCTACTAAAAATACAAAAACTTAGCCGGGCGTGGTAGCACGTGCCTGTAGTCCCAGCTACTCGGGAGGGTGAGACAGGGAGGCTGAGACAGGAGAATCGCTTGAACGCGGGAGGCAGCGGTTAGTGAGCGAGATCGCGCCACTGCACGCCAGCCTGGGCGACAGAGCGAGACTCCGTCTCAAGGGGAAAAAAGAAAAGCAAAACTGTCAAAAAAACAGTAGCTGAAAGGAGGAAGCTGAGCAATCTACAAAGATAACAGCCCCTAAATAAATGAGCTGGCTTTAAAAGTAAAGAAAACAGTGAATTGCTTTACGAGTTTTGGTGGATTACCCTAATATGAATGAAGATGATGGTCTGGCTGGGTAACTTCCCATCTTGCCTTCCCCAAACTTGATGGCTATTTGTCAACTAGCTATCAAACGTGATGGCTATTTGTCAACTAGCTAACAAACTTGATAGCTATTTGTTAACTAGCATGTACGAGGATTTGTAAAATGTTCATTACAGTTAAAAACGAAGGTTTATCAAATAGTCTTCTCTGACAATTAATAAACCAATAAGCACTCTAAGCATATGCTGGGGGCGGGGGGTGGGCGTGCGTGGAACCGAAAGAAATATGAGACATAGTCCCTATCTTTCAAGGGCCTCTCAATTCATTACAGTGCAAGAGTAAAAACACATGAAGGAGTCAGAGACCAATTAATTGCTAACCAGAGTGGTACAGACTTTAAGTGCATGAGCTGTCCTGAGAAGTTTAAATATCTAAAGGTTGGAATAATATTACTTTTAATAGCTATCACTTGAGCACTTACTATAAGCCAAGTGCTTTACAGACATTATTTAGTCTTCACAACAATCCTTTGAGTAGAGTACTTATTATTCCCAATTTACTCAAGGGGAAACAGTCCAAGTGGTTAAGGAACTTACCCAAGGTCACTCGGCTAGTTAAGTGGCTAAGACAGCCGCTTATTTAGGGAATTCTAGAGCTCACACTGTTAAGACTTCATACAGCAGTGCGGGGGGTGCGGGGGAGGAAGCCACATAGGCTGGCACTATTACAAGCGCGGGATCCGGCAACGCGTTCCTCGTGTTTCGTTCCAAGTAATGAAGTTACAAAGATCTGAATCTTTAGCATAAGCCACGGTAAACTGGCTACTAGAAATGGAGAGGGGTGAGCAAGGACGACAAAAATGGCTAACAAGAGTTAATTTCATCCAGGGTTGAGCGTTAGCATCTAAAAGCGATCCAGAGAAGGAAATGAGAAGCTGTTATTAATATGTTTTCTTAAATCTGAGGTTTGCTTTGCTGCTTAAACGACTTTTTTCAGGGAGAGGGGAGGAGGGAGCGCTCTAATGTGGGGGCGAGAAGACTAGGGGTATGGCAAATTACTGTTTTCGGCGTTACGGGGGAAAAGTTTCACGACTAAAGGAAACGCGTTATCCTAGGTACTCGAGAAGCTTGGAGAGTTGCCAGAATTAGTTGCAGTCCCAGGATAAAATGGGGTTTAGGGAACATTTAATGACGAAAGTTAAATCCAACCCTAAATAGCTCTAAGGTGAACAGACGGAGCAAAGAAATGTCTCTAGTTCTTCAGGGAAAGCGGCAATCCCTGCCACACTTCCCCACGGCGCTACGCGAGGCCGGGACAGTCAAGAGACCGCTCCCCGGGAGGACGAGAGGTGCCAAACCGGGTTCTTCGCGGCGCCCCGCGCTTCGCGGCAGCGGGCGAAGAGGAGGGGAGGGAATCCGGGACGGTTCGCCCTCCTCGGACTTCAGGCAGAGGAGGCGCCAAGCTCCAAACTGCGGAGTCCAACGGGTGCAGAGTGAAGAAATGGGACAGAGAGAGATGGAAAGTCCGAATCGCCCCAGCGCAGCCCCATAAAGATAAAGGAGCCCAGTGAGATCAAGCGAAAAGGGGGACACAAAAAGAGACCAAGAGGGAGCGCAGAGACCTGCAGGGCGGAACAGGAGTTCTACTAAGAGGCTAAAGAAAGCCGAGCTACCGCAGGCAGTAGCGATTTCTGGGAGGCCAGGGAAGGAAAGAGGTCCGCGGCGGTTAACAGCACCTCTCCCCGAGTTCGAAACTCCTAGCCGACCATCCACGCCCGCCGCCCGGGTGGGGGAGGGGGTACATCTTCCCCCCCAACCTCCCACCACAGGTGAGAGTGCAGCTGACGCCCTGGCCCGGCCCGGCAGTGCGCCTGCCTCCGGCCCGAACACTCACAATTCGCCTCTCCCTGATTTCTCCCAGTTCTTTATCCACTCTGCAGGAACCACCACAGCCGCGGCCGCCATCTTCCTCTCACTAGTAGCAGAGGCCCGGATGTGTAGCACGCGAGCGAAGGGTCAAAGGGGAGCACCGCCCACGAGGAATGCCGGGAGCTGAGAGTTCGTTTTTCGATTTCCCGCCCCACTTTCCTCCCCACCCAGCGGAAACCCGAGGCCCGGCAGCCAACGACGTGGAGACTCGCGGGCTCCTTTGCGAAGTTACTCCGCGGGCTGCGCCGTCCGAACTCCTCAGCCTTTCCATTAGAACAGAAAAATGCCATCCACGGGCCAACAAGTAGACCTTATCTTCTTCCATAGTATCTACCCCAACCACTAATACAAACACGCATTTTTCAAGCACCTAATATGTGCTAGACACTGGGGATAGAGAAATAATACAGTCTTTGGGAAAGACATAAATATAAGCAGATAAATTACATTACGCCCTGCTGACTGCTGAGATAAAAGGAAATAATCGGGAAGGTGGTAGCCATTGTCTGTGTGCCAAGCATTACGCTAATGCGAGGGATACGACCTAACCGTGGGAAACATGGATCCACGAGTTCTGACACGCTGCGTTGGCCTGCTATCATTGTTACCTTAGGCTAAACTAGGGACTGTAAGTACCATGAAAAACAAAATGGGCCGCGCACGGTGGCTCACGCCTGTAATCCCAACACTTTGGGAGGCCGAGGCAGGTGGACCACCTGAGGTCAGGAATTTGAGACCAGCCTGGCCAACATGGTGAAACCCCGCCTCTACTAAAAATACAAAAATTAGCCAGGCGTGGTGGCACGCTCCTGTAATCCCAGCTACTCGGGAGGCTGAGGCAGGAAAATCGCTTAAATTCGGGAGGCGGAGGCTGCAGTGAGCCATGATGGAGCCACTGCACTCCAGCCTGGGCAATAGAGTGAGACTTCATCTTAAAAAAAAAAAAAAAAAAAGACAAACACTGTATTATTCCTTAATCTACAGATATTTCAAATTTGATCTTTTTTTCTTTTCTTTTCTTTTCTTCTTTTTTGAGACAGGGTCTCACTCTATCGCCCAGGCTGGAGTGCAATGGCACAATCATGGCTCACTGCAGCCTCTACCTGCCTGGGGTCAAGCTACCCTCCCACTTTAGCCTCTTGAGTTGCCGTGACTACAGATGCACACCTCCAGGCTCTGCTAAATTTTTTGTATTTTTCTAGAAACAGTTTTTCACCACATTGTCCAGGCTGGTCTGGAACTCCTGGCCTCAAGTGATCTGCCCACCTCAGCCTCCCAAAATGCTAGCATTACAGGCGTGAGCCACCCTGCTCACCCCAATAATACTTTTTTTTTTTTTATGACACAGTCTCAGGAAGTCCTGACAACATGTGCTCCCACCCCACCTCCATAATGCTTGTTATAGCAACAACAAAAAAAATTTTTTCTGACTGTGTATCAGTTATCACATCTCCATTAATCTGGAAGAATTCCTCAGTCTGTCTTCCACAACCTTGACATTTTCGAAGAGTGCAAGCCAGTAATTTTGTAGATTGTACCTCAGTATTTGTTTGTCCGATGTTCCTTCACGATTAAATTAAGTTTATGCAATTTTTTGACATACTACAACATCGTGTTTTTCTTTTTTTTTTTGTAATTTTAAAATACTTTATTGTTAATAAATGCTAACAGTCATCTTAGCCCTCAGAGAGTTATAACCTTTTTGCTGGTCAAGGGTCTTGTCTCAATGTGGATGGCTGCTGTTGTGGCAATTTCTTTCTTATTTATTGTTTTAAATTTAATTTAAAGTTCTGGGATACATGTGCTACATGTACAGGACGTGCAGGTTTGTTATGTAGATAAACGTGTGCCATGGTGATGGGAAAACACCCACTGACGTATTTAGAGTTAACACCTCTGGAACCGGGTGTGGTGGCTCACCCCTGTAATCCTACCACGTTGGGAGGCTGAGCCAAGTGGATTGCTTGAGCTCAAGAGTTGAAGACCAGTCTGAGCAACAGAGTGAAACCCCATCTCTACAAAAAATACAAAAATTATTTCAGCTTGGTGGTGCACGCCTGTAGTCCCAACTACTAAGGAAGCTGATGTAAAAGTGTTGCTTGAGCTGGGGAGGTTGAGGCTGCCGTGAGCTGTGAGCATGCCACTGCACTCCAGCCTGGGTGACAGAGCAAGACCCTGTCTCAAAAGAGAAAAAAGAAAAAGAAAAAAGAATATACCTCTGGGCATGCTGGCTAATGGCTGTAATCCCAGCAGTTTGGGAGCCTGAGGCAAGAGAATCTCTTGAGGCCATAATTCAAGACCAGCCTGAGCAACATCAACAGACCCTATCTCTACAAAAAAAAAAAATTTTTTTAATTAACCATAAGGGGTGGTGCACACTTGTGGTCCCAGCTACTCAGGAGGCTTAGGTGGGAGGATCCCATGAGCCCAAGAGTTAGAGGCTGCAGTGAGCCATGATCTGGCCACTGCACTCCAGCCTGGGCAACAGAGCAAGACCCTGTCTATTTAAAAAATTAATTAAAAATCTTACATTTTAAAAATAAAGAACAACCACAGAAGTATTTAGAGTTAATGGGGCATTATTTTACAACTTACTCTAAAATATTTTAGAAAAAAAGTAATAAGGCCGTGCACAGTGGCTCACACCTGTAATCCTATCAATTTAGGAGGCCGAGGCAGGCAGATCACCTGAGGTCAGGAGTTCGAACCAGCCTGGCCAACATGGTGAAACCCCATCTCTACTAAAAATACAAAAATTATCTGGGTGTGGTGACCCATGCCTGTAATCCCAGCTACTCGGGAGGCTGAGGCACCAGAATTGCTTGAACTACTTGAACTTGAGAGGTGGAGGCTGCAATGAGCTTAGATCGTGCCACTGTACTCCAGCCTGGGTGACAGAGTGAGACTCCGTCTCAAAGAAAGAAAAAAAGTAATAGGATGATAAAGCAAATGTAAACTATTAACTTTAGGAATCTGGATTGAAGGAGTTCTGTAAATACCATCCCAAAATATGCTGTTTTAGTATGCTGATTACTTTAAACTTAGGGCTCTTGGGGAAGAGCAAATGCAGGGAGAGGCTTTCTCTGAACTTCCTCAATCTGCCTAAAGACAGATCCTCAAAAACTAACTCAGTTATCATGAATCTCCTCCCCAGGAATCTCACCAACCAGAGAAAATTAAACAGGAGAGGAGACTGGAAGTCAATGCCATGCCCAGACAGACTTTGTCACAGTCTGTCACCTATTCTGAGGGCCCACTCATCTTTTCCCAAAATCATTTATTCTATCCTAAGTTCCCTATATCCTCCCTCCTCTCGCCCCTATGAAAAGGGTATATAAACCTCTAAATCTACTGGGTTTGGGGCTGTTCACTTTTCTTTCATGACATACCCCCATGCATGTAATGAATTGTTATACGTTTTCTCCTGTTAATCTGTCTACAATCAGTTTATTTCATAGACTCAATTATTGAATCCTCAGAGAGTAAAGGAAAAGTTTTCCCTACCCTACAGGATGAAGGAATGAAGGACATATAGGGATTCTCTGTTCCACTTGTGCAACGTTGGGGCTCAGAAGCTGATACCCTGAAATTCAGCACTTTGACATGCTGAACTGAAGAAGCCTCAAGGCCTCTTGACCTTTTCCACTCCCCACTGCCTCACCCCAAACCTTTATCTGGCTAAGATTCAGACCACCAAAAAGAATAATTGTCTATTTTTCCTTTCCCTGTAGGACCAAGAATGCAACCACACCTGAAAAGACTCTTTCACAAGATAATGTACAATTAATCTCTGTTTCCTGATCCACTCATTCGTCCCAGTAATCCACTCAACAGAATTTCTCGTCTCCACTCTCCCAGAATCTGGTTGACCAAGACCTGAACCACATTGCGGGGTCGGTGATCACTCTGTGGTTTTTCCCATGTATACACGTTAAATTAATTTGTATGCCTTTTCTCCAATTAATCTGCCTTTTGGTAATTGTTTTTTCAGTGAACTTTCAGAGGATGAAAGGAAAGTTTTCCCTTGACCCCTACAGCAACTTTTCAAAATAAAAGGTGTTTTTAAAAAAACACATGTTTGGCAGAAAATACAGACAATCCAAATGAAGAAATCCTACCCTATATATGAACTTTAGAGCTAGTATCTTCTAAATATGGCAAGTTTTGTCAGATGAACCAGGTTCACTTGCATTGAAAAACTATTTAAGTTATGTGCTGTATTCAGAACTGGTTCTGGGAAAATGCTCCATTATTTATGGTTGTTTTTCACCAGTTGTATCTAGTCTTCTAGTGCCCTGTCTGACTTTGAAATTCTAAAGCCACCCACTAGAAAATATCCACCTTTCAATTTCAGTGATTTCTGCTTGTAAAAACCTTCTGCCATTTCGAGGGGGGTCAAATATAGTGCCCTCTGATCTTTTCATGTTTCCTTATTATGGACAATTTAAAATGTATACAAAGCAAACAGAATGATACAATGAATCTTCGTGTACCATCATCCCCCCTGGAAAACTTTGAAGTCATTATTACAAGGTAGCTTCTGTGATACAAGAAGCACTATCTTGCTACTTATGTATACTTCTCTGTGTAATCTACAGCAAGGGCTTTCAACCTGGGTCAGATACATTTTTGTGGGAATAGGGGGGATGGGGGCCAGGGGGCAGGGGTCCTCTGCATTGTAGAATGTTTAGCAACATCACTGTACTTGACTTACTAGATGTCAGTATCAGCCTCCATACACACACACACACACACACACACACACACACACACCAGTTATTACAACCATTTGCAGACATTGCTAAAATTCTCCAGAGGGCAAAATAGTCCCCTTTTGAGAACCATTGAGCTACAGTATTCTCCTGTACTGTGACTTACCTTGCCACGTATCACAGTGATTTCTTCTTCCAAACATTGAACTGTGCAGTATGCATAGTAATCAATATGTCACACTTGTGATATGACCTGAGTGCAATGATGCCCTTTGAGGCCTGGTTTTCTCTTCTTCCAGAAACTGCAGAACTATTTTTACATGGTATGATGACTCCTTTAGGAATTACTCAGAGCTAATTGGCTTTTTGATCTATCAGATTGCA